TATTGTTTGTAGTTTTCTGTGGGCTTAAGACACTGGCATTGTTCATTTAACATCCATTTTGTCCCTTATTTACTCCTAATAGAGTGCTACACTTCCTGAAACCAATAAACATGGACTCCCTTGCTGTATTTTTGATCGGTGTCACAAACAGAGATGCAGAGATGGGGACTTAAGTTTGCATCCTGAACTCAAGTCGCACTTACGTCTCACACACACAGTGACTTAAGAGTTGACTTGTGAACCATTTTTATTTAGACTTTTTATTTTTAACTTTACACATGCTAGGCGCAGCATGACTGTAAGCTGCAGCAACAACACCGTGACCTTGGCAAACTGCAGCTGTTGTGCCTTTTTATCAGGCGCCTCAAAAAGCACTCAGATAGGTCAGTCTGTCACTTGGTAATGTGAAAGACAAGTTGACATTAGTGCCTATGGACAATTAACAAACATGTTAGCTCAGCATTGGCCTATCTAACGTTAGCTTGTTAACAACTTTGTAGCTAAGGGACGTTAACTTATTAGATTAGTGTCTGATCAATTTTTTGAACAGTGAGTTTGTTTGCTTGCAACATTTGCTTAGCTATGACTGGAAATGGTTGGGCATTAATAAATTATGCTGCCACCTTCTGCTGTCTAATGTTAAACTGAGAGAAAGGCCACATTAATTACAGGTTTATTGTTGACAATGTAACGGTAGAGGTTTATTAGTTTACCATTACACAGGGTTTGACAGGCTAGAATTATGGATTAATTTTAGTGCTGTTAAGTATTTAAAATATTTAATTGCAAACTTTTTTTAATCTAGTCCAAACAGTGGTGGAAAGTAGCTAAGTACATTTACTCAAATACTGTACTTAAGTACAGTTTTGAGGTATCTGTACTTTACTTGAGTATTTTCATTTTCCGTTACTTGACTTCATTACATTTCAGACACAAATATAGAGATAAATACTTTTTTACTCCACTACATTTATTTTATAACTTTAGTTGCTAGTTACTTTTCATAACCAGATTAAGACAAAGAATATAGTATAGATATAAGACTTAATTGATACATGGTGGAAAATTCAAAAGCTGTACCCAGCAGTAATTCAAATCAAATGCATATAAGCCAGTTAAAACTAGTCCTCCTTTACCAGCTGCAAAATTAAATGCGATGTACACAATAATACATCAGTAATCACAATACAATAATATGATATACAAGAATGTGAAATGTGAGTACTTTTACTTTTAGTATTTAAGTATGTTTTGATGGTTAATACTTTTGTACTTTTACTTAACACTATAACAGAGTATTTTTACATTGTTGTATGACTACTTTTGCTTCAGTAAAGGATTTCAGTACTCCTTCCACCACTAAGTGTACAGTGGGTACGGAAAGTATTCAGACCCCCTTAAAATTTTCAGTCTTTGTTATATTGCAGCCATATGCTAAAATCATTTAAGTTCATTTTTTTCCTCATTAATGTACACACAGAACCCCATATTGACAGAAAAACACAGAATTTTTGACATTTTTGCAGATTTATTAAAAAAGAAAAACTGAAATATCACATGGTCATAAGTATTCAGACTCTTTAGTATTTAGTATTTAGTAGAAGCACCCTTTTGAGCTAATACAGCCATGAGTCTTTTTGGGAATGATGCAACAAGTTTTTCACACCTGCATTTGCGGATCCTCTGCCATTCCTCCTTGCAGATCCTCTCCAGTTCTGTCAGGTTGGATGGTAAACGTTGGTGGACAGCCATTTTCAGGTCTCTCCAGAGATGCTCAATTGGGTTTAAGTCAGGGCTCTGGCTGGGCCATT